GCCTGCACATTTGACCAGGAGCCAGGGATCTGGTGGCAGGGGCAGCTCATCAAAATCTTCTTGCATGCCTCAGCTCAGAGCCACAGTTCCCCGCACGCCTGGGACCTTCCCATCTGCGACAAGCCTGGGCATTAGCATGTTGTTGAGCTTCAAGATCTAGTCAGTCTTGGGGTGGCTCTTTAGTTAGAAATCAGTGAGAGTAGCCAGGAACCAGCGAGAGCGCACTCTCCTACTAGCGTTCTGCAACAGTCCTCTCTATCCACACAGGATCCTGTGTAGGGTATGACCTGTCTAGCCCGCTGTGCTAGCTACTATAACTGCATGACAAATCATCCCAACTTAGTGATCTAGAACAACCATTTACAATATGCATGGATCTGTGGGTCAGGAATTCGAATGGGGCACTGCAGGAAAGGCTGTCTCTGCCCCACGCTGTTTGACTATCAGGTAGATGACTCGAACGTGGAGCTTGGAATCATCTGAAGACTTAGTCCCGTCCATGTCTGGCTGTCAGCAGGGGCCTTAGCTGGGGCTCTCAACCAGATACCCACACATGGCTTGTCATGGGCTCTGGGCTTCCTCACAACATGGAGGGCAAGTGATCTGAGAAGACATATCATCTATTATGAGAGTCAGGCGTGTCACCTTTGCCATGTTCTGTTCATTGAAAAGAATCCTTCAATTCTCAACCAGCCCAGCCAGGTTCAAGGGGGAGGAGTAATAAACAGCAGAGGGGCAAGTTTCTGGAAGGCTGTATGGCTGGGGCTACATGTACACTCTGCCATACCTGGGCATAGCATGGAAAAGACAAAAGTTCTGCCTAGTCCCTCAAGTTTAAGGTTAACAGGCAGGACCTCTGCAGCTGTGTTCACTTTATACCCATGACTCTGGTCCCACCTTGGTCTCTGTGGTCGGGTAGGATTCCTTTGGACAGAGCAGAATTTTTCACCAGGTTGGTAGAAATACATAGATCTGCCCTTCATCAGCTGTCACTGCTCAGGTGAGGTCTTAAATAAGTTCTCTTTCCAAGATTCCATAAACTCCTCAAGTAATGCCCAACTGGGTCACAGACAGGACCAGGAGTTCAGGAGCAGAGTCTGTTGGGCCACCAAGTCGTGGTCTGTGTGGGAGCCTCGTAGAGATTCTATGACTTAGGGAAACAGCCTGGTGTCAGAGGGCCAGTCAGGTCTTCCGTTAGTGATTATAGAACCATAAGTTCTTTGAGTTTCTTTTTGCCTCTTTATGTCTTTTTAATCTATGAACTTGCTTTTCAAAATATTCAGGTGTATTTCTTCCATACTATTCCGTTATGGCTTGAATCAGTGTCCTCGGTAACTTTTTTCTTTCTTATATTTTAGAGAGGTGGAAAATACAAGAAAGTACGGAGAAGAAAATAAAAATCTTCTATAACACCACCCTTCAAAATAATAATTGTCAATATTTTAGTGCTTTTTCCATTGTATATTGCCTCATCATTAAATATTCCTGTCTTAAAGATGATTTTAATGGCTAAATATGAATGAAATATACCAGAATTTATTTTAACCACCCCTTTTATTGTTGAACATTTTATTTATTCTTTCCCATGCTTTTCGTGCAATTACTTTTGCATTATTAAAATATATTTTATTTAACATAGGTAACATTTTCTATACTTGTTTAAAAGGTTTAATAAAAATTATTTAAATCTAAATAAAATTTATTTCTTTGTGATAGATTCCAGGAAATGAAATTAATGGATCACAGGCTATGAACAATTTAAAGTTTTTGCTCCATAGTCTGAAATCGTTTTCCCGATTCATGCAATCAATATCTATCTGTACATAATTATAAAAGGCAAATAGGTGGGGCTTATCTGTTTGGGGGGACAAATGTAAAGCCATATATATTTTTTTAAAGATTTTATTTATCTGACAGAGAGAGACACAGTGTGAGAGGGAACACAAGGGTGAGTGGGAAAGGGGGAAGCAGGCTTCCCGCAGAGCAGGGAGCCCGATGCGGGGCTCGATCCCAGGACCCTGGGATCATGACCTGAGCCGAAGGCAGACACTTAACAACTGAGCCACCCAGGCGCCCCTGTAAAGCCATATTTTAAATGAATTTAATTCAGCTTTGATTTCTATTTGTTTTAGCCTGAAGGTGAGGATTAAGTCATTTGCCTCTATCTTAAGTGCCTTCAATTCCTTGGTTCTGCGTTCTGAGCCTGTGTTTTTCCTCTCTTCAAGTGTATTTTCAGTCATTTGCATGCCCCCCCCAACACGATGCTTTTCTCCTTCGTGTATGACTCAGAGTCTCATGGCCGCCAATCATTTGCTTCCAGATGCTCTTTATCGCGACTCATTTATTTCACGCATGACAGTGGCATTGCTTATTGCCCACTGTCTCCACTTCCGTGTGATTTGTCTGCCCTGTAATTCTGCATCTTTGAATGAGAATGTGATTACTTTTAGGATCAGTAAAATAAGGATGCATATGTGATTTTTATATATTCACCAGCTTCTCGTCATCACTGCCGTGGTCAATGACTGGCAAACCATCATGAGTGCTTCACAGACCTTCTCATTTGTGTCCATTTGTCCTTGAAATGATTTGATGTTATCACTAGATTTTTTCTTCTGTCTATACATTTACTTGCAATACAAAAGGCTTCTCCAATATTTGCAATAGTTATTTATAGTTCCCCTTAGCCCTGTTCTATTCTAATATAGTTGACCAACTGGGATATAAACTCAAAAGCATTCTGGAGTTAATATAATGAATATTAAGTTACATATCTGGATTTAATGATTATTCATGGCCTCCAATTATAATGTTACATAACTCGTGATCTCTAAGGCCTTTTTAACAGTAAATATCACCACACCTGGGCATTTCAGTGTTATCGTTGGGTATTAATTGTAGCTTTTGTAGTCACCCTGCAGTTTAATCTAAATATATATCTTAATTCTTTCCCTTATGCAAAATTCTTTTTAGTATACCTTTGAAGACTTTCACTCCGGGTTGAGAAAATATTACTTTTACATTTGGTTAAATTGTACGTATGTATGCATGTATGTATGTATTTATTTTTATTTTTAATTTTTTTGGGTTAGATTTTAATGACTTGCTTTTTGGTGCTTTTTATCTATCTATTTATTATGGTTTTTTACTGAAATATAATTGACGTAGAACAGGGTGTAAGTTTAAGAGGTATAACATGGGGCGCCTGGGTGGCTCGGTCAGTTAAGTGTTGGACTCTTGGTTTCGGCTCAGGTCATGATCTCGGATGTGAGATCGAGCCCTGTATCGGGCTCCGTGCTGGGAGTGGAGCCTGCTTAAGATTCTCTCTCTCCCCCTCCCTCTGCGTACCCCCAACCTGTACTCCTGTGCATGCGCACATTCTGTCTCTCTCTCTCTCTCTCTCTCTCTCTCTCAAGAAAAAGAAAAAAGAAAAAAAGAAAAAAAAAGATGTACAATTTGTTGACTTGGGACATTTTATACATGGTAATATGATTACCACCCTAGTGTTAGCTAACACCTCTATCACATTACATAAGTATCATTTCTTTGTTGTGGTGAGAACCTTTCACATCTAGTCTGTTAGTATTTTCAAAGTTTATACTGTAGTATTGTTGACTGTATCACTGTGCTGTGTATCAGATAACCAGGACTTAATTCATCTTCTAGGTGCAAGTCTGTCCCTTTTAACAACATCTCCCCACCCCCACACCCCAGGCCCTAGTAACCACCATTCTACACTCTGTTTCTACAAATTCAGCTTTTATAGAATCCACACAGAAGTGGTATCATGCAATATTTGTCTTTCTCTGTCTGGCTTATCTCACCCAAGCATAATGCTGCTTTTTTTCCTTTCCCTTTGTTCTAAAATTCTATTTCCCTTCCTCATTTTTTTTGACCTTGTTTCTTCTTTCCTTTTCCAAGTCCAGTTATTGCGCTTGAAGGTGTGGAATGAATGGATAGCCCGTGCATGTAGAGGTTTTACCTTCACTCGTGAGAACCTAACGCATATAAGAGTGGCTGGAAGAATAGTGTGGCCGGAGGCAATAGGGCCATCCAGTTGGCCAAAATTGGATTGTGTGTAAGAGGGAACACAACTGGTGTGAGCCCTGTGGCCGGTTGTGAAGGAGCCGCGTTTGGACTCTGCTCTGTGGTGGTTTTGCGCTAGAAAGTGAGATGGAGAGGACACGTGCAGGGCTCGTGTGCGGGGTATAAGTTTGAAGGGGGAGCCTCTGAGAAGGAAGGAGCTCTAAGACTCAGATGTCCACTCATGGAGCCAATGACTACCGCATGCCTGCCATCTGTCAGGGCCTCTGGACCCCACAGTAAGCAGGCCACCATCCACCTTGCTCTTATGGGGCCTATCATTCAGCGGGCCTGCTCTCCTGGGGCTTCTGCTCTGGTGAGAGGGAGAGCAGATTAACACTTGGGGTGGTGGCAGCGGCTGCTAATATATATAATACACACCTCATGGCATTTAAAGTCTTAATTTTCTAACTTTCAGACACTGTGACTAGTGTGTGAAGACATGTCCAGTGCCCTATTGGGTTCCTGTGCCCTTAAAGGAATAGCTCTGTTCTTATAGGTGCAGCTGGGTTGCTCCTCTGACTCACCCCAGCCCGACTTTGGTTCGAATTCCTGTTACATTGTGAGTCTGCCCACGGATGCAGCTGGGAGACTCAGGCTTCCCCTTTGATAATTCGATGTTAGGAGTTGACATCCTGGAAAGAGCACTTTGAAATGACCGGAGAAGGGAGGTCACTTGCGGAGCTTGTCATTCGGTAATAACCTGGAACTGGTTCATATCTTCTCAAGAATGACCTCCATGGAAGACCAAGGTTCTGGCATGATTCTCCTGGCATGCAGAAGCTTGGTGGTGGGGCAGGGGGGTGGCTCTGCTGGGAAATCTTCCCTCTGGGTACCACTGGGTAAAGTACAGATGTTCTCATGGTCCTGAAAAAGTCAATAGCTTACAAGTGATCTTTTTCTTTTTCTCTGGCCAGGAATCTTGCATCCTTTCTGCAGAACTTGGAGAAAAATGTGAAGCCATAGACAAGAAGTTATTGTACTTAGAAGATCAGCTTCACACGGCAATCTATAGCCATGATGAAGATCTCATTCATATCCTTTTAATCTTGCAGATTAAGCACCTGCTAGTTGTTTTGTAAGAGCAAGTCTTCAAAAAATACTCAATTTTTCCATGCCCTAGCAGATGGAAACAAATAGATACTGCTGTTATTTATAGCAGAGCGCACCTTTGATCTCTGAGATTATCCTATATGCAGTGTTTTCTCTCTAGCTTTTGGTAAGTAATTCAACATTTTTTACTATTAAGCCTGACCACTAAAAATTAACCATGAAGTTCAGACATGCAGAGAAGGCCAAAACAAAATGCAATTTTCGGGGGTCATGAAGCTGGGTTTGTGGGGCACAAATGGTTGTGGTTCTGATCGGCTCAGTTTTTCTAGGGGCTTCTCTATATTTTCTTTACCATACAATTCTGCCCTGGAATGAGCAGTGGAGTATCATAACTAATAGGACTTTAGGTTGTTCCTTTTCAATTTCTTCTTGCACAAGACTCCGTATACTTGATGTCCCATCTGCAGATGCCTTCCTCAACATTAGCTGTCACTGAGCAAGAAGGCATAAGAACTTGTTAGCTTTGGTATCCGTGCATATCCCGTGCAGATCTGTGGGTGTACTCAGTTCTGGTTAGTTCTTTCGAGGGCAAATGGATGGATGTGCACATAGATGAGGGTATATGCAGCCCCATCTCGTGTCTTTTCAATTATGCAATCAGAAGTGGACACATCTCTAGATAAAAACACTTCTTCGTTCATTCATCTTTTCTATTCAGTAGTATGACTCTTACAAATGAGCTTGTGGGAAATGTAGCTATTTTGGTCTTTGCTTTTCATTGCTGTCTTACTTTTTAGAATTCTGCTTCTTTTTATACTTTATCTTGAGTGACTGTGTGTGTGTGTTTGTGTGTGTGTAAGCAGCTTTGAATGGCCAAGGACTAATCTTAATCACAGGTATTCGGATCCACAGTAGTTTAATGATGGATTCAGCACTGTTTCCTTCCTCATTATAACCTTAAATCTTAGACCTTTGTTATTAAACTTAGCAGGGAATTTCTTCAGCTTAATCAACAATTACTTTCACGTTGCTCAAGGTAGTTTTTTTTTTTTTAATTTTATTTTATTATGTTAATCACCATACAGTACATCATTAGTCTTTGATGTAGTGGTCCATGATTCATTGTTTGCTTATAATACCCAGTGCTCCATTCAATACGTGCCCTCCTTAATACCCATCACCAGGCTAACCCATCCCCCCACCCCCTTCCCCTCTAGAACCCCCGTTTGTTTCTCAGAGTCCATAGTCTCTCATGGTTTGTCTCCCGTTCCAATTTCCCCCCCCTTCATTTTTCCCTTCCTACTATCTTTTTTTTTTTAAACATATAATGTATTATTTGTTTCAGAGGTACAGGTCTGTGATTCAACAGTCTTACACAATTCACAGCACTCACCGTAGCACATACCCTCCCCAATGTCTATCACCCAGCCACCCCATCCCTCCCACCCCCACACTCTAGCAACCCTCAGTTTGTTTCCTGAGATTAAAAATTCCTCATATCAGTGAGATCATATGACACATGTCTTTCTCTGATTGACTTATTTCGCTCGGCATAATACCCTCTAGTTCCATCCATGACATTGCAAATGGCAAGATTTTGGTTTTTTTTTATGGCTGCATAATATTCCATTGTGTATATATATATATATATATATATATATATATATATATATATACCACCTCTTCTTTATCCATTCATCTGTCGATGGACATCTTGGCTCTTTCCACAGTTTGGCTATTGTGGACATTGCTGCTATAAACATTGGGGTGCACGTACCCCTTCGGATCCCTACATTTGTATCTTTGGGGTAAATACCCAGTAGTGCAATTGCTGGATCATAGGGTAGCTCTATTTTCAACTTTTTGAGGAACCTCCATACTGTTTTCCAGAGTGGCTGCACCCGCTTGCATTCCCACGAAGGTAGATTTTTAAAAGCAGACATTTTGTTCTTCATAATTTCCTGCCCCTTACAAAACTGGTGTTTAAACTATTGCTACAAAGTTGGCCAAAGAAACAGCAGAAGTGTTCTTGGTTTGCATTTTTGTTTATGCCATGTTCGTGGATCACCTGGATTTGAGGACTTATAAGGGGACATGGGCTCCAGCAAACGGGCAAGTGACTATCTGTGCCTGGGCATCTGGGAGCGATGGAATGCAGAGAGCCAATGCATCCGAGAGGTTCCCGGCCCCCAACCCAGCAGGTGGGAGCTTTCCCCAGTGGGATGTTCCTCAGGCTTACAGTAGAGTCAGGTAGCAATTCTGAGGGCTGGGGGCGGGGTCTGTGCTGGTCTCTAGACCTAAATTTTCTAAATTTTTAGTCAAGTTTGGTTCTAGGGAATTGGGTTTTCCCAGAAGGGATGAGTGGCAGGGGAGGAGGCTGAGAGGGGGCAGACCTGTGTGTAGATAAGCCCCTTTTAGTGGCCCCACAGCCAGTCCATGATTCAGGAGCAGCAGGACCATGGACAATTGATAAAGGCTCTTCATGCTTCAGCCTCCTCATCTGCAACAGTGGACGGTAACATGTGTCTCTAAGGTTTTCATGAGGGGTACATGAGGCTGTATTCAGGAAAATTCTTTAACACGCTTGTACGTGGTAGGTGCTAGGTTTTAGGTAGAAATTACATTCTCCAAGTCCATTTGCCTCAACACTTTCAGTATTTGTGTCAAAAGCTCCAGTCACATCCTATTTATATGTAAGAGGTTTCAAGACAGGTTTATTCAATTATTTTGTAATAGATGCTTGAATGAGTCAGTCTGTAACCACACAGTGGCCTGTATAAAAAGTCATTTAAGTGTACCAAACAGCTATAGGTAGATGGGGATTATTCTTTCTACTTGGTAGTTGAGAAAACCAAAATTAGGTGAGTGCTCCAGGGTCATTTCTAATGAGTGGCAAGCTCTATGGTCCTTGTTGGCCCCATTGGGAGGTAGCTCTGCCTACAAGTAAATGGATAGGCCCATTGTGTGGAATATACAGTTACTCTAAAAATTTTAAGCTATAATAAAAGTAGCTTATTGAAATTCTGTTTTTGAGAATTTGTCTGATCCTTGCTGAGATAAGTGGAGACATACTGGGGGTATGTCAGACTGGGGTTGGAAAACACTGTTTAGGTACGGAAGACACGCTCCTCCCCTCCAAGCAAAGCTGCACTGCAATGTGGATTTCAACCCAAACTTTCCTCCGAATCCCAGGCTTTGTTCTGTGTCCCCAGTTGAGAGCAAAGATACAGAAGCTAATCTTTGAGCTCCTACAAAACAGCACTTAGATTTGAGGGGAATGTGGCACCCTAAGATAGAAAGACATATTTACAAGGCTCTGCAGAGGCTCCCTCCCTGCACAAACCAAAGCCCTCGTTCCAAATTAGAGCTTATCTAGAGCTTCAAAGAGGCTGCTGAATCCTCCAGCCAAACTCTGACTGGTTTGTGTTTCCATTCTTGATCAAAGATACAAAGCTGTGTATGGTTGAAAGAAACAGCTTGCTGTCAACAACAGGAAAGAATTACACAGTGAGTGTCATATTTTTGTTTGATTCCATTAAGCACTCTACCAGAGCCTACTGTGCCTATGATGTAGCATGAGCGTGATGAACGTGAGTCCACCATGAACGTCCATGTCCAGAAGATTCAAGCCTTGGCAGCTATGGATGCTAATGCTTTGTGTGGAAGGCACCGTGCTTCTGCGTAAGCCATGCATGTGAGAAAGGGTTGCTAGCGAAGTGTCAGCGACGGGTGGACCACTCATCAACAGTGGAGATGAGCTTCCAAACAGATCCTCTGGGCATCCTGACTTGATACCGGGGCTACGGGCAGCCTGCGGAGAGTGTCCTGCTTTTTACAAAGAAGACACTGGATTGACAGATCCAAGAAGGGAGAGAAAATAGCCCATGTCTCTTCATCATCCTGACAGACTCACTAAATTACAGGTAGCATGACCAAAGGATGACACAAACCCATCAGCTGCTGTGGTGGTTTCCATTAATTGGAAATGCCGGCCACCTCAGAGAGGTGACTCGTGTCTCCTGTCTGAGGAGAGGACAGGAGGTGTGACTTCCCTGCCAGTCAAGTCGGGATTTCCAAGAGCATCAGTTTGACTCTCTAGTACAATTTCACAGTCATTTTGGGTCCTAATTAGCAGTTATGTTTCGAAAACCATTTTGAAGGGTTCCTCCATGCTCAAAACGCTTCAACTGAAAACCATCCAAGTGAGGTGGATTTTTAAGCAGGTTTCTTCTCATTTTTTTTCTCCTTCAACTCTACAACACACTTTCAAAGGAGGGGCAAGCACACCTGAAATTGGGACACTTTGGGCATATTTCAAAGCCCCCAGGGCAATTCTCCCTGCCTCTGAGTCACAGATGGGATGGGGCCAGACTGCTTCTATTTGTGGTTCTATTTGCATCCATGTCCAGAAGACCTTCATGGAATTCTGTTCTCTCTGCTTATTTGGAATGCATGGTGCCCAATCGATTAGTTTTGGTGGTGCTTGATGGCATGCAAATACCCTAAATACATCCAGGCGCATGCACAAACATCGCATCCCCTTAAGATCCCATGTCTGGTTCAACTTTCAGTTGTGTAGCTGGAACAGACAAAGCTAACAGGTAAAGGGAGATTGCTGGGTCTTCTTGGAAATGTTTTCCACTCTAGAGCTAAAGAGCTGGAAGAGGGGCCATGGGGATCACAGAAATCTAGTTATGAATCTTAAAGAGAAGAAAACAGACCCTAAGAGGCTGTCGTTGAAAGCATTGTGGCATTGTGTGTGCTGGGCTGATGCAGATATGGTCGCCAGGATTTCTTCCATTGGCTTCCGCCAAAGGGAGTGGGGTGGGGGGAGGAAGCCTAGGCAGTAGTGTGGACCCTGGGCTGTCCTGCTGCTGGCTCGGCACAACGTGAACTTGGCACTGGGTGGACATCCCAAAGAGTGCCTCTGCAAAAACATCGAATGTATTCCAGCAGGTCACGTGCATGCCTGAGGCTTTCCT